TTTAAAAAGCAAACAGTCACTTACCAGCTAGGACAGAAAATCAGAATAAAGGATTGTTTAACATTTTTGAGTGAATTTATCTTTATGAGAAGCCCTGGTGGAGCAGTGGTTAAGAGCTCAGCTGCTAACCAAAATGTCGGCAGTTCAAATCCACCAGCCACTCCTTGGAAACCCTGTGAGGCAGTTCTGCTCTGATCTACAGGGTCGCTATGAGCTGGAATCAACTTGACAGCAATGGGTTTGGTTTGGGTTTTTTTTTTTTTATCTTTATGAGAAACTGACTCCCTTTTCCCCCTTGCCCTTATTCAGCCATGGACCAATAAAAACCCTGTCCCAGCCAGCCCAGTATCGATTCCAGTCAGCACGTGGGATCTCTGGCAAAGGGGAAGAACACAGGCTTTGGGATCATCTGGTTACTACACCTACCAACAAGATATGTAACTGGTCTAAGCCTCAGTTTCTCATCCACGAAATGGGGATAATAACAGCGTAGATCCCAGGGGCCTGTCGTACAGACTAAATTAGATAATGCATATAAAGTAGTTAGCACCAGCGCTCAATAAATGATCCATATTATTTCCATATTCTGAAATGCTGCCACCTTGGGGTAGTGTCCCTTCTCATTTCACACAAGAGCTCTGGTTGCTCCTCACTCAAATACCAAACTCTTCCACTCGGCTCTCTCCTCAAGTCCCTTCCCAGACCTTTTCTGAGAAATTCCCTCAACAAGGGAGAGGCTGGTCAGTTCTGCCTTCTAGGTCTACCACAACCACAAATGAGTTTGCCACCATCTCCAGGAGAGATACAAAGAGGTGGGGCCGATGCCCAAGACCAAGAATCTGGGCAGCTGGGGCAGAAAACAATAAAAGGATCAAACAGAGGAGCTGGAAACCAGGGGCAGACAAATCCGCTGCCTATCCACTTACGTCCAGCCACCAAGCCCGAACAGCAAGCGTTTATGAGCGCTTTTCTCAATGCCAGACACTGTTCCATGCATTTTGCATCTATTAATACATTCAATTGTCATGGCAACCCTATGAGTGTCATTGCTGTCCTCACTTTACACACGAGGAAACTGAGGCCAGAGAAGGTGTACAATATGTTCAAGCTTCCGAGACTACCAAGTAGCAGAAACAGGGTTTAACCAGGGAGCTGGAGGAGTTTGTGCTTTAACTGGAATTTAATACTGTCTCCCTCCAACACTGTATCACTTCATCAAAGCAATCAGTTGATCGGATGTTTAAGGGGCACTTACCCTCTGTGTGTCAGTTTGTTGTACTTTGGTGGTCTGTGTGTTGCTGTGATGCTGGAAGCTACGCTACCTGTATTTCAAACACCAGCAGGGTTACTCCTGGTGGACAGATTTCAGTGGAGCTTTCAGACTATGACTAGGAAGAAAAGTCTGGTGATCTACTTCCAAAAATTAGCCAATGGAAACCCTATGGATCACAACAGAATGCTTTCGGGAATAGTGCTGGACGAAAAGTCCCCTAGGTTGGAAGAGACTCCAAATACACAATGACAGCAACAATGGACTGGAACATATTAAGATCATAAAGATGGCGCAGACTAGGCAATATTTCCTCCTGTTATACATGGGGTCATCATGAGTTGGAACCGCCTCAATGGCAACTAATAACAACCACGGTGTGCATAACACTATGCCAGAGACTGTCAGATAAAAGAGAAAGTAAGACTTGGTCCCAGGGAATATAAAGAGGTTCTGGAGGAGCTTCCATCAGAGCACGCAGTTCTCATGTCAAGCGGCTAAGAGCAGGGGACCAGAGGCTGGGCTTCCTCACCTCTACCCCACCAGAGAACCGAAGGCAGAGCCTGGACAAAGAACCACCAGCTACTACCACAGAACTAGCAGGAGGTGAGGAGCCTAGATGCCTCCTCGTCCTCCTGACCTGAGTTCTCTGGGCTCCAGGGCTGTGGCTAGAGGTAACACCAGGCACTGAATACTTGGTTCATAGCTTCCCTTTGGGCCTCAATGAGTAGAAGACAGAAGCTAGACTCCAATCAAGGTCAAGGAGAGGGGCCTCATATCCTGACTTCTGTCATGTCTCCTCTGGCCTCTCCCCGAACCTCAAGGCCCTGCTCTGGGCTGGGCTGGGCAGGTGGAAGCGGGACCTGTGGCGTGTATGTGTCTGTGTGTAGCACAGAAAGGGGACAGCCGATCCCCAACTCTTCTTCCAGTCTTGCTGTTCTCTGCCAGGTTGTAGCTGCATTCAGGGAGTTAAATACTGGGATTTTAGGAGACCCTCAGGGCCTCTACCCTTCATCCCTCACCCCACTCAAAAGCAGTGGCAGGGATGCTGGGGCGGGGATGGAGGGGATCTGGGGGCCAGAGGGACAGATTTTCCTCCTGTTCCCCTCCATCCCCCTCTGGAGGCGGCTCCCGCCCTGGCAGCCCTGTCATTCCACATTGCTCTGATTAGCTATAATCTTTCTTTTTCAATTTCTCCTCCCTGAGACTGGGGAACGAGAAAATCTCCCAGAAAATGACTAAATATTTCAATTTTCGGCGCAATCAGTCTGAGGAGCCGGTGCATGATGGAAACGGGGGGAAGGATAATGGTTTTCATTTAGATAAGATACAGAAAATTATTTAGTGAAAAATGAAGATTGATGAAGCCCATTGAAATTCTTTAAAACGTGATTTTTATTTTCCGGGCCTAGGCTGAATCTCCCCTTCCCCTCCTCTCTGCTCCCCTCAATTCTATGGCCTTCTCTTCCCACCATCTCCCTTCCCCATTCACCCACCACCATCCCTCAGCTCCCCCCAACCCACCCATTTCCACTCCTCCCACCCAAGTCCCTGACCTAGCACTCCTTCTTTCTAAGGATGGAGGCTGAGGAGAAGGGTCCCGCCACCACCCACACCATGACTGACCCAGGCCCCCACTCCCGCGCTCCCTGATGCCTCCCCAGCCCCTCAGTCAGCTTCCCAGAACCACTTGATAGTGATTTTCTCACCTCTCCAGTCTATTCTCCCCCTTTCTTTCCTGTGCACCCCCTCCCCCACCCCAGATACTTTGGCACACTTTCCTCAGGTCTTGTTCTCACCCCTGTTGGAGACAGATAGGTGGGAGCCCACAGTCCCCTCCCCGCCCCCCCCCCAAAAGGGAGCAAGGCACACAAAACACACTTCTCCTTCTGCCCTGATTCAGTCCACATCCACACGTCTCTCTCCGGTTTGCTAACTGCAGCTTTTGTTCCTTGAAGCTCATTCGTATCCAGGTTGCTGACATGTGAGGGCTGCAGAAACGGGGCAAGACAGAAGCTTGCCCCCAACACATACCAAGACTGACCCAGCTGCCCCTCCCCTGCCACCTCGGGGCCGCCCCCTGCTCCCCTTCTATAGCAGCCTGGCTGAACAAAGTCAGAACTTAAGTCATCTTCCCAACTTTCTGCCAAGTGGCTGGCCTGGCCTGCCAACCCCAGGGCCAGGCCTCCTCCTTCTGCCAGCACTATCTCCCACTTTCGGTGGCTCACACCATAGATGCATGCCCTTCCCATATATCAAGGGGGGGTGCCCTATGGGGAAAGGTGGATCAAGACCTCCCCCCACCAACTCAGTCCAGCTTCACCTTCTGAGCTGGGGAGGGGCCAGGAAGGACAGGAGGGGTCCCCTGGAACATCCCACCCCCAAACAGGTACCCACAAGCCCAGGAAGGGACATGAGAGCAGGGCAAGGCTTGAGACTCTCCTGTCCAAGCTGACTTCCCGCTCTCCAGAGCCCCCCATCCCCAAAAGACCACCTCCTCCATTTTGTAGTCTGCACATCTCCATAGGTATCTGCCTATAAGAATGTCTGCTCAAGTTTCTTTGTTTGCTGGAGGGTTGGTATCTGTAGGAGCGTTTCTGTGTACAAGAGTGTCTGTGTCCTTGTAAATGTCTGCATGCATACATGTCCTGTGTATATGAGTTGTGATGTGTTTGGGTGTGTGTGTGTGAGTGTGTGTGATGTGGGGGAGGACTGAGTGTCTTTCCTCAGATGTGTCAGTGTCTTTGTGTATATGTGTCTGTCTCAGTGTGGGTGATGTTTGTGGGTATGTCTGTGTTTCCAACGGTGAGTGGTCTGTCTCGATGCCTGTGACTGTTTTATGGTGTTCGTGTGTCAGCTCCATTTTGGGGAGGGAGAGTGGGGAGAGCTCAGTGGGATTAAATCTTCCTTAGGTCCAGGCCCTGGAGGCAAGGACTCACCCCTACAGACCCGGACCTGGCTGGAGCCTGGGCGGTGGGTTCCTCAGGCCCTGCCCTCCCCCCAGCCAGCCCTGCCTCAGGATACACTAACATCCTCGTATCTCTCAACAATCTTCCTCACCTCCTAGCCTCTCCCCTGCCAGTTCCAAACAAGCCCTCCACATCAACACTTTCCTGACCTCATGTGGGGTGTTAACCGCCCCCCTTCAGGTACCCCCTCCATAATTCAAGCCCGTCTGAAGCTGTCTTTAGAACTCCACTCCCCACCCAGAGCCTCCGCGGGCCAGGGTTCCGCTCCGACTCGGGGGTGGTGGGGATTCCCTAGGAACATCCCCGAGAGCCTTGCTCCCCAGATTTCCGCCCCACCCCCACCCCCCCAGCTGAAATCTCACTCTCTTCCCAGGCTTCCTCTTAGCCAGGACCCGGGCGTCCGGCCTCCCGGCCTCAGAGAGGGGACAGGCAGGGCTGCCCGAGGCTCGGGAAAGGACTTTGAGCGTTCGGTACCCTCTTCGACTCCCACCCCCGGCTCTCGCGGCCCCAATTCTCCCTTCTCCCGCGCAGCCAGAGAAAACAACTTGGGCGAATTAAGAGAAAACTCATTCTCCCCAGACGCCGTGACTCCGCGCCCCCTCCGCCAGGGCTCCGCGCCGGGACTGGGCTCCCGCCTCAAGGCGTCTCGCCCCCGAGGGATGACCGCGGGCGCCCTGCATCCCCGCGCTCCCGCATCGGGGGCGCCGTCCCCCGGCCCGGAGTGGCAGCAGGCGTCTGGGGGCGGGCGAGGGGGGGCTTACCTTGGGAGAAAGTATCGGAGAGAGTGAGGATCCAGACGAGGAGGCTCAGCATGCTGTCCGCCCGCTGTGCGCCCGCCGGCGGCTGGGGCCCGGAGTTGGAGAGCGAGCGAGAGCAGCCGGCTGGGGAGGAGGGGAGCCCGGAGCCCGCCCCCCGCCCGCCCCTGCACACACACACACACACACACACACACGCACACACACACACGCGCGCGCACAAACTCACTTCCCTTCCCTCCGATTCTCTCTTTCCTCCCAGTCCTTTTTCTCTTTTTCTCGTCCCGTTTCCCTCTGTCTCTCTCTCTCTCTCCTTTATTATCTCTCGTCTCAAGCTTTATCTCTCTGGCTCTCTTTCGATCTCTGTGCCTCTCTCCCTTTCTCTTCCCTTCTCTTCCTTCCCTCTATCCTTCCCTCCCTCCCTCCTCCTGACGTCTACTCTCCTCCGACGGCGCCTCCCTCCACAACCCCTCCCCCTGCTCCCCCAACGCGCGCACTAACACACGCGCACACACACACACACACACACACACACTCACGCACTCACAATCCTCGCTAGAACGGAGATAGAAGGACAGCAACGAGAGGAAGGAATTGAAGGCAAAGGGTGGCAAGCGCTGGCACTGGGACAGGGACGTCTGGACCCCCGCCCACTCGCACCCCCCTCCCGTACATATATTCCATCTTGGTCCGGGGCTACAGAACTAGGCAGTGGATTGGGCCTGTGGAGGGGAGGGGGGTGCTGAGGACCGAGCCTCTAGTCTAGAGGATGACTATGGTGGGAAGATTGTGTGAGTGTATGTGTGCGTTTGGGTGTGTGTCTTGTGTGTGTTTGGAGAGGGCAGGGGGTGGTTTAGGAAGCATAAATATCTCTTAAAAAAAAAAAAAAAAAAGACACAACTTCTACACCCGGAATCTAAACCCTGGCTTTCCCAAATTGGGATTTCTCAGTTGACTAATAAATTCGGGGGTGGGGGGGAGGGGGTAGGAGGAATACATTCCTCTCCCCACCTACAAAACCCAGAGCTGGAGAATCAGAGCTTCGTCATGGGCCTGCACTGGGGTCTCGCCCAGCGCACAGTGGGGCCAGCTAGTGTGGGGGTCCTTCGAGGGCCGGGAAGGGGTGCAGTTGATTTCTTCCTTTGTTCGTCTTGGGCATCCACCCACCCAGAAACCACCTCGACGGCCTGGAAGGGCCAAGGCTTCGCTGAAGAAAACCAGAGGAAAGGTTTGCCACGAGAGGATCTCCAAGCACGCAGGAGTTGGAGATCTTCTGGGGTCAAAGATGGAAGAAATGGAAAGGGAGGGAATTCCCGGAAAGGGTAACGAGGGCGTTCAGGAGGAGTCTCCTCTTTCTTAAGAGCCCAGTTTAGCAACCAGCTCCTTCACCAAACCCTCAAACCAGATGCTTGGTCTCGCAGGATCGCTCAGGGTGCCTGGACGTCTGAGGCCCTGGGATGAGTGGAGGAGACATAGCAGAGGAGTCACAGGAATTGCACAACTTTGCAGAACTACACTGGTCTAGAAAGGCTTCCACTTCTTTCCTCCCAGATTCTAGGTCTCCTGGGTCTCTAACACTCGCCGCCAAGATTTCTCGATTTCAGCCCCAAAGAGAACGGGGATGGCTCTCTGCTGCCCTCTGCTGATGGAAGGCGGCCACAACTCTTCTCTCCTCGGATCCTGACCCCAGGCTCGATGGTCCAGATTCATCCATCCATACACAACCAAAAAGGCACACTAACACAAGCTGAAAAACACACAAGCTCGTATTCAGAAGCACAGATATGCACATACCTTGAGGATCCTACATATGTTCACAAACACATATGCACAAGCCAATACAGTTTACAAATAAAGAAACATGCCCAGCTAAGAGAGACAGTAACACAACCCCCCAAACGAACAAGAACACATAGACACTTACCAACATGCAGACACATAAGGACCTTTCATTTATTCATTCATTAAACATGCATTCCATACATATTTACTCAGTGCCGACTATGTTCCAGTCATAGCTCTAGGCCCTGGGATACAACAATGGAAAAAAAAAAAACCCAATAGGGTCATCCTCAAGGTATCACAGTATTCCACTCAGGAGGAGAAAGAGAGGCAGTAGACAAACATAAAAATACACCAGGTTGTGTTAAATACTGTGCATACTATGGGAGACAAAGCAAGATGAGAAATAGGGAGTGGAGGGGAGGGTAGAACGGATATTCTCACAGGTAGTCATGGAAAGCTGTTCTGCTAAAGTGACATTTGAGCAGAGACTTCAAGGAACTGAGAGATTCAGCTACGCAGGTATCTGAAGGAAGAATGTACCATGTAAGGTAAATGCAAAGGCCCTGAGGTAGGAGTGTGCTTGGAGTGTCAACAAGCTAGCCTTTGCTTTTTTTCACTCTGTATGAAGGTTTATGGAGAGGAGAGTTACCGTGACAGGGATTTGAGAAAGTGTTAAGAAAAAGTCCAGATGCAAAAGAAGATACTACCCTTAGCTTAGTGCTCCTTGCCTGTCTTCCTATTTCTGATATCCAGGTTTGGTGGTGATTTTCATTGTGAAGAGAGACTAGGTTGTCCAAACTTTTTTCCACCTTAATTTTATTGTGGTGAAATATACATAACAAAAAAGTTTGCCATTTTAAGTGTACAATTCAGTGATGTTAATTATATGCACATGTACCATCATTACCACTATCCATTTCTAAAATTTTACATTACCTAAAATAGAACCTTAGTACCCCTTCGGCAATCACTTCCATTCCTTCCTTCTCCTAGCCCCTGGCAGCCACTTGTCCTTATATATTTGTCTGTATGCATTTGCCTATTCTAGATATTTCCTACAAGTGGGATCATACAATATTTGTCCTTTTGGGTCTGGCTTTGTTCTCTCAACATAATGTTTTCAAGACATATCACGTTGTAGCATGTATCAGAATTCATTTCTCTTTATGGCTAAGTAATATTCCATTGTATGTATATACCATTCCATTGTATGTATATACCATTCCATTGTATGCATATACCATTCCATTGTATGCATATACCACTATCAAAGCTTTTGATTTTTTTGACCTTAGGGATTACTGCTTCCTTCTCCATGCCCACCTGCTTCCGTCTGGGCAGGGCCCAGGAAACCAGCCTCTGATTTCACCCCTGAACCTTAGGAACAAAGGAGAGGTTTCTTCAGCTTGCTCTCTTACCAGCTAAAGCAGAGACCATCCCTAAGACAGTTCTCTCTGGCCCTTTTCCCTTGCCCCTCTCCCTTTAATCTCAAATCCTCACTGGCTCAGTTCATAGCAAACTCACTTCTCCAGAATCCCCTCCACATCATCCCACTCACCACCCCCAGATCCCTGAGTTTAAGACCCCCAATCTAGCTAGTAGTCCTCAACACCAGCTATCCATTAGAATCTCCTGAGGAACTTTTAAAAAACACTAGTGCCTTGGCCTCATCCCCAAGGATTAATTATTTTTTTGTGGGTGAAGCCCAAGCATCAGTATTTTAAACATGTCCCCCAGGTGATTCCAATGGCCACCGAGGTTGGCCCCACCAAGCTAAGCATCCCCCTGCTTCCTAGGCATTCCTCTCAGCCCTGCCCCCTTTCTGGCCACCAGCAGTTCTCTGCTTACTGCCAACCCTGTATCACCCTCTCCTCCTTCTGAGGGGAGCCCCAAGTAAGCTCCCCCAGCTCTATTTCATCCTTCATCTCTCCATCACTAGTGTTCATAATTCTGTCTAATTAGATTAACTTTTTGAGTCTATTGAGATTTAATCACATGATCTTCATCCAACTGTGGGTGTCCTGAGGCTGAGTCCCAGTATCAGGTGGATGATCCCCAGGACAAGAGCTTTCCCATTAGACACACTTCCCCAGGACAGGATATATGCCTTCCCTATCAAACTTGGGGATTCCCTGGGTGGTGCAAACATTCACGCATTTAACTGCTAGCTGAAAGGTTGGAGTCCACCCAGAGGCACCTCAGAAGAAAATTCTGGCAATTACTTTCAAAAGATCAGCCACTGGAATCCCTATGGAGCATGGTTCTACTCTGACACACATGGGGTCGCCATGAGTCTGAACTGGTTATCAAACTTGGAGTTCCCTGCGGGCAAGGGCTATGCATGTCCCCTCAGTCTGGAGCTCCACAAGGGCAGGGAAGAAGCTGGGTACCCCTGCCCCATCAGACTGGCAGCACAGTGGTTGAAAGCAAAGCACATGGATAGTGAAACTAGGCCAAAGAGGGGACTCAGCTCCAGGTTCTGTCCTGACTTTCTGTGTGACCGTGGGCAGGTTAGTTACTTCACTATTCCTTGCTTTCTTCATCTGAAAACAGGGCTAACAATAGTACTTATTTTATGGGGTGGTTGTGAGGGTTAAGTGAGTTAGTATCTATACAGCTGTTAGAAGAGTCCTAGGCACTCAGTAAACGCTAGTAAATATTACCAGTACCAGTTGCCAGTGAGTCAACACAGACTCATGGCGACCCGCTGTATGTCAGAGTAGATCTGTGCTACACTGGGTTTTCAATGGCTGAATTTTTTGGAAACAGATTACCAGACCTTTCTTCCAAGATGCCTCTGGGTGGACTCAAGCCTCCAACCTTTCGGTTAGCAACCAAACTCATTAACTGTTTGCACCACCCAGGAACTCCCAGTAAATATTAGCCATGATTATTTTCCATTTTGGAGCTCCCCAAAGCAGGGGCCTTTTGAATCTTTCTTCTGTTGGATTTGTCCTCATCCCCACGCGCAGGGCCCTGCCCAGACAGACTCACGCAGGCATGGAGGCAGTGACAGTAATCCTGAAGGATGCTACTTCACCTAAAAACAAAAAAAGAGAACCAGCCAGAGGTTATATATGGAGTTAAGAGAAATATTAATAATTTTTTGAGCACAAAAGCAAAAAGATCAAGAGGTCAAGGAGTGAGTAGGCAGGCAATTTATGACCATCTGCAGAAGAAGCTCCCTGAGAGACGGAAATGAATTCTTTGTCTCAAAGAGGGCTAAGAACGGCAGAACAATTCTAGAAATTGTTCTCTTTTCCTCTAGAGGGAGAGGAGGATTGTGTCCCTGCTGCTTACCAGAGACGCAGACAAGAAAAGGCCAAGCTCCT